TAATTTACTATTAAAATTTAATAAATTTAAAATTTTAATCAAATTAATAAAATGAATTGAAAAATATCTCAACATGGATTTAAAACTACACTATTTTTATATATTCACAAGTTACAGAATCGAATTTGCTTCACTAAAGAAAGAGTTACAACATTTTAAAAATATTATATAGGGGTGTCAGTAGAAACCAGTCAAATTGTTTCCAAGTAAATTTTTTTAGACTTTAAATTAAAATATCTCAACTATTAAACCAAACTTGATAAAAATTTTTTTATTTTAATGCTATCTGTTATAGAATTAAAATAAAAAAAAATTTATGAAGTTTGGTTTAATAATTGTTGAAATATTTTAATTTAAAGTTTTAAAAAAACTTACTAAAAACAATTTGCCTAGTTTCTACTGACACCCAAGTTTTTATTATAAAATTAGGGTCCTGATTTTTATACCCCCTATATATGATAACCATACCCCCTCTAACAAAACAAAAACTTTGAGCAATGATATTTCGACAACTACCTAATAAATTTGATAAAAAAATTTTTATTTCGATTCTATTAGTTTAGTTGATTCGATTAAAAAAAATTTTATCGAATTTGGTCAGGTGATTGTCAAGATATCTTTGCCCAAAGTTTAAAAAAAAACTCAAAATGCCTATCAAATTAATTTTTTAAACCTTTGAGCGAAGATATCTCGACAACCACCTGATCAAATTCAATGAATCTTTTTTTATTTGAACTCTATAATAATTGAGGATTCAAATAAAAAATGATTCGTCGTATTTGATTGGGTTGGTGTCGATATATCTTTGCTCAAAGTTTTTTAAAAACTTAAAACGGCTATTAAAATAAAGAAGCGATGCAAATTTTTTAAAAAATTTGTGTAAAGATATCTCAATAACCACCTCCGTGAATATTCATGGATCCAACCTCTATCCGGCCGGAATTAACAAAATAGAAAAATAAGCCCGCGATTTCATTAGTAAAATTTCAAGTAATTCCGACCTAATTTTTTGGGTTAATGAATCAGGCCTAACCAAGTGTACTACGGACAATAAATTCACTAGTATATTACAAGATAAGCGTTATTTCTGACGCGTATTTTAATCAAATCTAATAATTTAAAATATCTAATTTTCAAAATAACGTTATTTCGCGGTTATAATAATATATCTTGAACCGTTGTGTATTGATAAAAAATGACGTTTCTCATAAGGCATAGAATGTCGTTCGTTTGATAAATTGTATATCTTTTTAAATGTAATTTTCTAGCAATCGAGGTTTTGTTAATTACATCTTTAATAAATTTTCATATGATCATTGTATAAATAAAATGCATTCAATTTTTTTTTAAAAAAGAGAAAAGGTTTTTTTATTTTTAATATAACAATAATAATAATAATAAAAATGAAATATTATTTACATACTTTTGGAGGGATAATTATACAATTGTTAAAAAAAAAAATAATATATACAAAAGTTCGTTGTTTTTTTTTTTTTTTTTGATATTCTTATGTTTTTTTTTGTTTTTTGTTTTTTTTTAACGGAATTTTGATTCAGATTCTTAGGTTTTTTTTGAGGTTTTTTTTTAAAAAAAAATTGTTCGTATGTTTTTTAATTTAAATAGTTGTATTTTTTTTAAGCATATAAAAAATTTTCAAATTCATATTCTTAGAAATTTATGAAAAACCCATTCACCACTTTTCAATTTCGTACCAAGGAATAACACAAACACCACATTTTTCTTTTAATTCTTCCAACTCTTTTACCACTTTACCGTTACAATTGACATCTCCACCAATTCCAAGATATTTCACTGAAGAACCTGCTCGTCCTTTAATAAAACTTGTAATTCCTTTCAGATCCATATATAAAAATTTAACAACGTCAACAATTAAAATTTTTAATTTCGCATTACAACAATCACTTAGTAATCCATTCAATTGAATTTTTTGATATCCACATTGAAGTTTTAAATATGTAAGCGAAGAAGGAAGTGATTTTCCTGAAATAATCGAGGATTCAGAAACCGAGATAGAAATTGGAATTTGAATAGTTAAATGTGTGACGTTTTGTAATGTTTGAAATAAGGAACTCAATAAATGGTCATGAAGGGAAGGTTGATAATTTAAGAGAGTAAGATGTGTGATATCAGGGCAATTATCAATCATGGAATTAATGGTATCTTGTGTAATTACGTCCATTGTTAATTCCCGTAAGGATGACTTTCCAAGTGCTCGAACTATCAAAGAATAAATTATGGCATTCTTTGATAATTTTTCGAGATGTAATTTCTTTAAATTCTCAAATTTGATCTTATTCCACAATACATCAATAGTCGAAGGTGTTGTAGTTACAGTATTTGTCATATCTTGAATTGTAAGTCCACCACAATTCGATATTTTAAGATTTTCCAAATTCGTACATTTAGCCAAAGCGTACAGTGACAATGTCGAAATTTCAACTCTGTCTATTTCTACGGAGGTTAATGAACGAACTTGGGATTGTAAAGCTTCAATTATACCTCTAGAATCTTTTTCATTTTCTACACCTTCTAAACTAAATTCTTTTAACCTATCCTGAACAATTATAATTGATACAATTGCTTCTACGGCTTCAGAAATATTTTCAAATCTAGGAAGTTTAATACCTAAAATTTGAATTCTTTTACATAATTTTGGGATAGATTTTAATAAATTTATAGTATTTTTTGACATAGGTTGTGAGGAAAAATCAATTTCAAATTTTGAAATATTTGATAATCCCATAAACCCAATATTTTGTGGAATTTCTAAACTTGATGAAAGTTCAGGAATATCATCATTATCAGGATATTTATCAACCCTGAAATATCTTAAATTAACCGAATTTCTTAAAAATAATTTCCATAAAATTGTAATCATAAAATTTAATTGATTATCCATTTGATTTATTTGACAACCGAATTCCATATTATATCTAAAAATCCATGAACGTACAAATAATTCCAAATTTTTAATTGAAAGTTCTTGTAACATTATAGGATAATTAAATAATGGTTTTCCTTTTTGAAATAATTCTTTTAAAGATTCGGTGTCATAAGAATTTTGAACCAAAAAATTTTGAAGGACAATTTTTTCGGTATCATTAAGTGAAGAAAGATAAACTAATAAAATTTTGGACATATTTTCAGGTGTTAAATTTTCATCAAATGGACGAGCCCATAAGAAAGGGATTACGTTACGACACCAATAACGGTTTATGAGTAAGAATGGGTGTAACGCTTCTCCTTGATCAACGAGGTTTTGAAATATTTGGTACATACATTCGGCGGGAAGAGTTGGTACTATTAATGCTTTTTTAGCTTGAGCAGGGGCGAAAAGGTTTATCATAAATTTCATTAATGGATTGTCTGACATTTTTGAAATAATCGTTAATATGAATCGTTCGTTAATGATAATGACTTGTTCGTTAACTTTTTTTTTTTTTTTTTTTTTTTTCGTAAAGGGAAGAAAAAAAAAATATAGAAAAAAAAAAATATTATTTCGAACTTGTAATTTTTCAAAGGAGCGAGCGGTGTGAAGTATTTATAGAAAATAATATTCAAAAAAAAAAAAATAATAATTAATTCGGTTTTAATAATATTTGCTACCAAATTCAGATAACATTTAGGCGTCAAAATTGTTCCCAATTCTGAATAAGTCTACATAGAAAAAAAAGCGATGATATAGATGATATATTAATATTTATGTATTACATTGAATGCATATGATTCTATAAATAAACGGGTATTTTTCATACCAACATAGCCACAAAAATCAGTTAAAAATAAACAGGAATAGTCCAAAAAAAGAATTTATGACAGATATCAACCGACATTACATTGTTCATCAATGCGTTTAGTGCGTCACAAATAAGATTTCATATAAAAATACTCAATGAGACGGTTTGACATTTAGTGTTAGATAAAGTTAACTTTATCGTTATACGCATTTACCCCCCAAAATTAGTTTATTATTCCCTCCTTAGCATTTACCCATCCTTTGTGTAATATATACTTTGTGAAGTTATCACGCATATATTTATTGATATATTTATTGATATCGATATATTTATTGACATTGAAATTTTTTTAATTGTATTTAAAATTAATTGTTTATTACAACATTGTTTGTACTGAGCGAAAAAAATTAACCAAAATATCAATATAAATTTTATTAAAAATGGATAAGGTAGTATGGCATCATTGGGAATTTTCTCGACCGAAATTTTACATAAATAAGAACAATATGTTTGATTCTTAGCTCTCAATATGTACCAGCCACACTTCTATAGAACAATTGGGCCTTAGTACATAATTTATTAAAGGAAATTACAATGAAAGTTTTTTACTTTTTAGAGTTTATTATTTCGGTACATTTTATTTCCTAATTGAGTTAGATCGAATACTCGTATACGTAATGTATTTTTGAAATTAAGTGCTTACTTAATTATTGTTACGAATTACCTAGAAAGGAATAAACTACATTGAGAACAAAACCACATTTTGTGGGGAAATATTACATGGCAAACGTGTTTTCTAAAAGTATTTTCTAAGATTTTTTAAATCCCATGTACATACGTCGAGACAAATATCAATTATTATATCAATTATTATTGTGTTAATTATTTTAGGTCACTAACAAATGTCATAGTTCCTTTTAAGACTTGCCTATATATTAATATTTCGAGTATGTACGTATGATAATTACCTAAAAAAAATTTATAAAAACTTTTAGATTAAAATCATTTATAAAATTTAATAATAATTATATATATAATTTTTATTTACAAAAAATTCATTTAGGCATTCTCAAGTAAAATTAAAAGAAATATTAAAAAGATTGCCGCATAGCATATAACAATAACAATAATGGCTGTCAAAATGATTATGTACTAACCAACCATTGTGTTACGTCTGTTAAAATTTAGAAAACAATTTCCCGAGAAATATATATACTCCATATATAAATTTTTTTTTTCAACTCACATCTCATCCGTCCTTTCATCACCATCTTGTGATTTCTCATCAGCATGTTGACCAACCAATAAATAATTTACCACAAATCCATCAGATTTTTTTTCAATTTCTCCATTTCGTTCATTATCATCATCACTTTCTAAATTATTATTATTTCTAATCGCATCATCATTCAAATTTACCGATATATGACCATCATCTATAAAACTTGAATTTCTACTTGTAAATCTTCCTCTACCTCCATCACCACCATCCATTCCGTTTCTACCTTCTAAAACATCTCTATTTGGTTCATTCTTTCCTTTGTTACCCCTTGAACTATTAAGATCATTTTCATTTGTCACATTTCCAATAATCTCATATTTGGGTTCTCCATCATTCTTACCCGACATCCAATATATATCAATCATTAAATTCACAGCAAAGAATATAAAAAATGCTATTGTAAGTTGAATGAGTGCATATGAATATGCGTCAATACCATTTGTAGAAAGGTATAGAACTTGATCTTCGTGTGCACCCATAAAAAGGAGACCGGAAATTATCAATAACTATATAAAGTTGAAAAAGTAATTTATAATAAATGAACTTTTTTTTTTAGAATAATATTCAAATTATCATATTGTATTTTTTTTTTTAATAATAATAAAAAAAAGAAAAACTTACAAAAGGACATAAACTTCTAAATGGCGTGATTGGTTTCTCTACGACCAAAAAACAAACTTCAATCAATCGCGCAATGCCAGCACCCATTAAGGTAAATCCAAATAATCTGTGAATTTCTGATGATATGTCTAATGTCTGAGGTTGTTGACTCAGGATATAGCCGGTGAATATTATTATTAACGATGGAATGATATTTCGTTTTATGCTTTTACGGGATAGATAGATACCGAGTAGGCCACCTGACCACCACATTATGCCTACAAGCGTGTGCTAATTTTATATAAAATAGTATTAAATTGATGTGTAGTGATATGTAATGACTTTGTGTAAAAGAATTTAAATGACGCGTACTTGTATATCACCAGTAGTCCAACTCTTTTATGAAAAGAATGTTAATCTCTTTGTTCCCATTAAATTCTTTATTATCATTTTTTACATCATCAAATACTTACTGTTCCCCATCTAAAAACATTTTTTAATAATACAATTTATATGATTTATATGTTACATCTTAAACATAAACTCGTTTCAGGAAAAAAGTAATTTACCTATGTTCCAAAAATGTATTTATAAATCCCCAAATCATAATAACCCAACTATCGTAATAATCTTGCAATTTTCCTTTACGGCGTAACCATTCTGAAGAAAATCTCATGACAAGTATTAATAATATTCCATGTGCAATGAATGAGGATCCCTATAAACATATAAATCAAGGATTACTTTATTTATAAAGAGAGATTACTTTTATATAAATCAATATAGATTACCATTATGAAATGTGCAAGACATTGCCCTAATTTGGCTCCTCTATTAAATATAAAAATTAATTTGTAAATTAGTGAATAAAAAAAAAAAGGGTTGATTGTTTGATTCTCCACATCTTTTTTTTTAGCTTACCTACACCATCCAGTAGCGGTAATAGCACCCAAAACCATTTGTATATATCCAACAACTGGCATACAAATACCAATTACTCTATGAAACTTAACGCTCATAGGCCTAATCCACTCATTTACGCCATTTTCAAAATGACATTTAAGGTATAAACCAAGACAAACTTGTGACATTAGTAGAATCATGATGTAAGATGCGTATGAAGCATGTGCTGTGTCACCAGCAAATTGACGACCTTCGTGAGCGTGACCAAGAAAGAAACCTAATGTAGCTAAGAAGGTTCCTACGAGTTGAATAGGAACATGATAACGAGAACGGGAAAAGCCCAATACCATGCCTTTCCGTGTAACAAATTAAATATTTAAAAAAATGTATGTTAAGGTTAGCAGATAATTATAGATATTAATTAAAAATGAATTACAAAGTTAGATGATACTACAACAGTATACATCATAAATACATAACAGATACATAAACAGCTAACATACCAATTGGAAATATAATACCAAAGGCTAAAGACATGAATATTATATGGGCCCAAAGAGTTCCATCAATTGGATCATCAGTTGCTCCGATATCGCCTGTTAAATCAGCAGCATGTTCATGAGCAACTATTGTTGGGATTATTAATAATAACCAAATTGACAATTTTTTTTGAGTTATCGAGAAAGAATCCATCGAACATTAAAATTGATAATAATAATAATAATAAAATAAATTATGAAATTTCTAGCTGGTAAAGATTAAATTAAAAAAAATTGATCATCGTTATCGCATTATTTTTATACCAAATTTATTGCATATTTTATATAAAATTATTTAAATTATTTGGAAGGTGACTATGGTGTCCATTGAGAACATTGGTTCATTTTTCGATTAATACTTATGTTACCTTATAAAAATCCGTGGCTTTGTTAAAAGTAAAATGGATTCAAAGTTACTTTGCTTTACTTTACTTTAGTCACATGAAAATCATGAATGTAACCGAGTATCAAATGTGGCTTATGAAACATCAAGATTATAACATGTTATTTTAATTTTATCAACAAATTAGAGATTGATACGTATAACGATATTGATTATAGTTTCTAAGCATTTAGCTTGTTCATTGTGTTTCTACAAGCCACCATAATAATGAGATCCGATCAATCATTAATTCGAACCAAATTACGTAACATTAATGATTAAGCTTAATATTCTAATTTATCGTTATAGCGATAAAGGTCTTGGGACCGGACGTTGCCCTGGGACGATGTTTTTACTTATCTCTCTAGTTTTTTTTTGTATTGGTTTTTTTGGATTACTTTTTTTTTCTGTATTAATTTGTTTTTTTTTTATTAATTTTTTTTGTATTGTTAATAATTTTGTACTAGTTTTTAATTTGTATGTCACGTTTGTCGTAAATATTTTGACAAAAAGTTGTCTCGCGATTCAGTGATCTGATTGGATTTGTAAACTTAATAAACAAAAAATTATACAAATCCGATACTAGATTCTTTGAGAAGAATAAAAAAAAATATATTATTCTTTTTTCATATCAGCATAACCTACATTAACACCGCCATATTCCGGATCAGAGATTCTCTGAAGTAGACCTTCACCATACACGACCGGAATTAACACGATTTCCAAGAGAGAACTAGGACACTCTTAATCAATGGGTCGGAAATTAAGTTAGGAATTAAATTTTAATTAATGGAGAATAATTTAACCGATCGTGTTCATTTATTTTTACATCCGGTCAATAAGTTTTTTGCCCAAACCATATTATTTATTTTTTTTTTGCTTCATGATTACTAGAGTAAATAGTATTATTATTCAAGAAATTTCATATTTGGTCGCTCAATTGTTAGGTAATTTCTGATTCTTATAACCACTCCGATTATCACGATATGGATTTATCATTTTTTTGATGATCTGCTAACTTCAATAACGATAAGTACTGATTAAAAGTCTTTATTCTGGTCTATCATAGCAATTGATTATTAACAAATCACATTATTTAAGGGCACATCTAAATAACGATAATATCTATTCATATTACTGGTTTTTTTTTTATCTAAAATGTTATAAGAACAACCGGATTACGCATGATATTTGTGTACTTTTCGATCAGTGTTAGCCGATGATCTAAGTCCCATCATTTTTTTTGATTTGGCCTAGGTCATATAATCATATGACTTTTTGGCCATAAGTCATATTAAAAATTTTTTACTATGATTCTTATTATGTTAATAAAAAAGGTCATAAGTCATATTAACCCTCATTATGACCAAATGAAGGCCATCAGCCAACACTGATTTCGGGTGTTGCTTGAGAACGTGAGTCTATTTAATAAATCGTTAGTTCTCAAAACAGCTCACTCAGCTCGAAAGCTACATTTTAATTAGTCGGTAAAATAATAAGCTGACCAAGTGAACATTTCGATGAAAAAAAAGAATATGAAAGGCTGACAATATCTTTTTTTTTTCATTTTAAATCAAATATTTATAATAAAGGTCGCTCAATCATTGAGTCAAAAAGTATCTGTGAATAAATTTTACTTAACGGAAAATATTTAAAATTAATTAAGCGTGTTTATCATTACGATGAATTAATAAAGTTTATAATAAACATTTTTTTATTAGTAAAAGACATTAAATGAATTTTTCATAAATCAGCAAACTTTTTTACAACAGACCACCTTTTTTTTATACCTGCCTTTGAAAATTTTACGATCAATAGAGTATTCAAAGAGATCACTCAAGCAGCTTTGCCAT